CCAGTGGGCTCAGGTGGATTATTTTTTTGACACAGTTATGATGTCTTCACCAGTATAATAATTGCGGAATCCCATTCAGTAAAACTAGTTCATAATTTAACAATAAAGTATTTAAATCAATATTTAGAACCATAACAATGCAAACTCCAAGGGATGCCCTATGATACTGTAAATCCTGTATACTGTATATCCATTAGGAGGCTACTGAGATTATCTAAACATGAAACATATCAGGAGACTATTGCAATGATCCAAATCTAAAAACAATCAAAGCAAACATCAATAAAACTGAGACCCTTTCTATCATTCCCTGCTTCCAATCCTATGAATATTTAGCAAGAAAAAACTGGGAATCTCATTTCAAGATCAATAAATGAGCACGATCAAAACTTAGAAACTAAGAGCAGAAGAAACTGGAAGCCCTGAGAAAAATGGAGAAACACAAAAGAAAAGAGGAAGGCAATTGGCTGAAACATGACAATCTCCATCTTATCCATATTCAGTAATGCAGTTAGACAACTTCCAAAATGAAATGCTAATGAGACATTTCTGTCATTGTTGACCATACACTTTCCTCTATAGATGTGTGTTTCATCAACACAGCTGTGATACTGAAAACTGTAATTATGTATCAAGGGACCAATTCTACTAACATTATCAGTCTTGTGATATAGAAGATATAGAAGATTAATGAAATGTATACTTTCTGTGGCAAATGTCCCAGGAAGCATATATGCCATGTACAATTCAAAATATCTTTAAGAGCAGATGCAGGAGGAAAAAAATCTGACATAAGAACTGAGGAGACAATAAATAAACACATTAACTAAGATATCTCCCTACATTCAGTAAACTTTATTGTTACCTTCTATATTTTCACTGAATCTTTCATGTTATGGCAATTGCATTAAACCTTTATGTTGCAGCTGGCCAAAAGGAAATGGTGATAGCAGATATTCTTCAAGTTGTCCTAAACTAATCTTTCCTTGCCAGGCTGATAGGACAGGACATTTTCTAGGAGAAAAACAGCATTCTTTTTTTTTTAAGTGATTTTTCCAAACATAAAAGTGGGAACCTGGTCAAGATTTCGACAATGAGGAGATAAAAAGTAACAGATATACTTCTCTGAAAGAGTATAATTCAACCAAATATTTTTTTATAGACAGTACTCTTTCCTTTCGTTCCATTAAATGCTGTTTGTTTGAAAATGAATGGAGATCCAGATCTCCATGGGGATTCCTGTGTTGCTCAGATACTTGTGAATATTTTGGTGGTTTCAAGAGAAAGTGCAGATATTTATGATTTAGAGTTGAGGCTTCTCATATTATAATTNAATTCACAAAATAAGCCTATGCATGTTATTTTGTTAATTGTATATTAACAATTCTAGTTTCATAATACTGTTTGTTGAATCCATAATCAGTCACTATTACAATAAAACCTGTTTGTTGGTTATTCTGGCATGATGTAATCAAACTTGTCAAAAGTCACTACTTTGAGAATACAGGAGTCGTAGCAACGGTCTCTATAAAGTAGCTAATGTCCATGAGTCTTTGCATTAAGAAAGTTCTGAAACATTGCACCCTTTCCCATTGGTTAGAAAAACAGCAGTAGGTGTTGCTTGGACATAGCAACCAATTAGTGTTTGGAAAGGGTGTTCTATGATTCTAAAGTACAATAAGCATGTGCAATAGGTATGGAATTTTTACTGACTACTGGAGGACAGAGCAGGCACTTCCATTAGACAGTGAAGTGGTTGTTCCAGGCAGCAGACTTTGAATATTATGCATCCTGTAAGGGCTGAAAACAGCCAATCAGTTGTTGCTGTTATTGGAAAGTGTTTTGGGTGACTTTGTTTCTTATGTGCCAAAATAATTGGCTATTTTTTAGATATTTTGCACCTTCCTTTTCAAGAGTGTTGAGCCATTTGCTTATGATATAAGATATCCTGGATCATCTCTGCAAAGGCGAAAGCAGAAAAATCAGGGGAAGATAGATGCTGGATCATGGATGGCAAATAATCATTTATTTATTTATTTTTACAGCCTTAGCTGTATAAAAGCAGAAGTAATTCAGAATGCAGACCTAATTAGAAGACTACATGGGTGTTGTTTAGCAGCCAGTGGATGCCAAGGACATTGTTTTGAACAATTGTTAATCTTGTTAATTGGTCACCTTGTTGGACGGAGGTCTTCACCACTTACGAGGTTGTGACCTTCAAAAATTCTTCTCTGACCTGTCGGTAAACAGACTTTACCATATCCCAAAGGACGGACTCGTCCCCTAACCTGATCTACTGGAGGTTCCAGGGAAGGTTGAAATAATAATAATAATAATAATAATAATAATAATAATACAATAATAATACTAATAATATTATATTGTAGACTGCATATTGCTCTCAAGCCTCTTCTGATCTAATCTGCTGAAAATTTTATTTGAAAAAAACCCTGCTTTACTTAGATAATTTTGGTAATAGGGCAATGGAGTAGGTGCATAAAACTTAGGTAGGAATTCCCCATACAGCAATATTTTATTGTGGGTTCAGTTGAATAGATTTAAATTCAAGATTATATTAATTATTGGAGATATATGGCAATTTGGATTTGAATCTAAAACTTTACTTCTGAGCAAGCAAAGAAGCCTAGCATCTATCTGCAACCCTTTAGGCTGGCTATTTCTTTTCCTAGTTATTTTTATTTTCTATATAATTACCGCATATTCCACAAGAAAGAATCTGAACCATCCATTTTTAATATATTTCAGCAAATTATTTGCTAGACAAATTGTTCTACATGAAAAATTCATCCACCTCATCTTTATCACATCTAAATAGATTGACTCTGTCCCCATACTTAACCCAGTCCCCCATTCAGATATCTTTACTGGTAATTCCAGTAGCATGTGATCACAAGTCCTGATACAAAGAATCACTTGAAATCTATCCTCCATTTTTTCTAGGAAGTCCTGGTACTACCTTAATCCATGTTCTGTACTTGAAAACTTCATTAATCACTAATCCCTTCTCCATTAACTAGGACAGCAGATATAGCAATGCACTGATTATTGTTACCATTTGGGAAGCATGTTCTTTCTATCAAGGCTCAGTAAGAAAACCTCTATTTTGCCATTGAAATTGAAGAACTGAATCTGCACAATGAGTTAGTTGATTGACTTTAGGTATTTTCACAACAAGGCTGATTGGTTAGAATCAACTCAATATTTCACTATAACCTGCTGGGACTGTCCTTAGTTAACAACAGTAATTGGCATTGCATACTCCATTGCTAAGTGATGCAGTCAATAGGTGTGGTGTCACCTGGCCACATTGACTTATGATGGCAGTTCCAGCAGTTCTGGTTGAAGTTGTTAGGTATGATGTCATAGGATCTCCATTTGCCACCTCCTACTGGCTTCCCCATTGATTTTACTTGTTGGAAGTTGACAGTGATGGTAGCAAATGACAATCATGTCATTATGGGATTATGTGACCATCATTATTGGAAGCTGGTTGCCAAGCATAGAAATAATGATCATGTGATTATGGGGACATTGCAATGGTTGCAGTTTTGAGGACTGGCCTCAAGTCTCCTCATTCAATGATGTAACTTTGAATAGTCACTGAATGAATGGTAATTAAAAATGAAATATCTGTAAATGTACCCACATGGACATAAATTATGTGGGCCAATTAATTCCTTCAGTGCTTTTACTAACATGTTATATCCCTATATCCTGGCTCAGTTAAGCATGTGAGAAGAAACAGAAATTAGGAAGCTTTAAGTATTGAAAGTACAATTACTTTTTAAAAGTTTTTGAAAGAGTTTTAAAAATACCCCTTGGACAAATATGATTTTAATATGCTATCTCCAAAACACAGGACTGACACTTTAGCATACTTCCTTTGAAAGGACATTACAAATAAAATTACAAGAAGGGCTAGCATTTTTTTTCCTCATGAATGGAACAGAGAAAGTCTTCAACATATGAGAGGAGAGGAATATCTTCACATATTTGGGCCCTAGATCATTTTAATTAGCATTTTGGACTGGGCTCAATATCATTCAATGTTGCTTTTCAGACGTAATATAAGTAGAGAAACTAAGCAAAATTCTAGTAGCAGCATTTTGTTTCAGTCAGGGGTATTATCAAAATTATGAAGGAAATTTCTCCAAAATTTATTATGTTACCACTTCAAAATGAGAAATATTTAATAATAAGGTATTACAGCAGGAATGGCTGTTAGACAGAGGTTCTCAACTTTTGTGATGTCTTTAATCATTAAAATTTCAATTAAGCCTGACTTTTTTCATCACAAGTTCATGAGGCCACAAATTTAAAAATAAATAATAAAGTTTGACTAAAGTTAACAATTCAGTGTAAGTTAAATTGAACCCCCTATGATATGCAAATACTTTTCAATATAAGTCAGCTTTTCTGGCAGATCACAGAAAAAATACATTTTAGGCTTAGCAACTATTTAACAATCAGTTCTCCCGATTTGGGCTGATCCATGTAGATATCTCCTTGGAGCATTTTTATATTATATTATCTATTAATATAGGCAGGACTTCAAAGCAGAGTTTGCAATCATGCATAAATAATTTTCCTTGTAATGTTTAATTCCTTTAGAGAAACAACAAATTTTACAAACATGCAAATGTTAACCCACTAGAAATAGGCCAATAAATGAATATGGTACATAACAAAGCATATGATAGTGTTTCTCAGAAGAAGTGATTTGCAGGAAGCCTCAGATTCACATACTAGCATCCCTATCCAGAATAGGGGGAGAAAAACCCTCCATCTACAATCTTGGAGAAATATTACCAGTTTATGTTGCCAATGCTGAGCTGGCTAAACTAATACTCTGACTCATTTTAAGCCAGCATACTATATAGTCTTTCAATATTTCTGTTACAGAAATATAAAACATATCATAATATAATGATATACTCTGTTCTTCTAGCCCTTTTATTATTTCTGTCAGTGTCACTTACTTTTGAGATCCAAGTTTCTTGCTCCTGCCGTGCTTTGTGTTGTGATTTTTGTGTCAATTTTTACAGTGTGGAGATTATTGGTATCCCGTGATATCATTACATTGTGCCACTGGTTGTCATTCAGAGGTTTATTGGAACTTCCCTTGATAAGATTTGCACCATTTCCCAAATCAAACACATAATGTAAATACCTGTAAACAAAAAAGAAAAACAGCTAAATTGAGTAGGTAGATGAAAATTACAGCTCTTCGTTGCTTCTTTTCTTTATTTAAATTCTTTGGCAATTTATAAAGTTCTTAGTTAACTGCTCTTACATTTAACAAGGCTAATTTGGGACAGATCAAAATATCTATGTCAAGAATGTTGAGAGAATTAAAAGAAAAAATGTAGAATATTTTTCTTAGAATATTGAGCAAAATTGCTTCCTTATATTAAAGGTATTGATGAAAGAAATTATAACCACTTCTGCTCCTTTTCCCTGCCTTAGCCCACTAATTCTTTTATTCATCAAGTACAGTATTAAACAGCAGTATTAATTCAGATGAAATCTCTAGAGGATTTTTTTCCCCAACTTTTATGACTTGTAAATTCTATTTTTCCCTGCCAAACTTACCCTATCCTTATTAAAGCCATACAAATAAATTGAAATCATTTTGGAGTTTATTTTCTTTCATCACTAGCTCTGTCTAAAAGTCTCAATATGTAAACTGGCAATATATTTTAAAAAGGAAGGAAAGAAAGAAAGAAAGAAAGAAAGAAAGAAAGAAAGAAAGAAAGAAAGAAAGAAAGAAAGAAAGACTTAATATAGTGCAATACTTTACTGCTTTATCTAAACTATTGAATTTTTGTAGATTTCCTCAGTGAAAATTTTGTATTTCTCAAAAGAGAAATTACATTTCTTGATTAAAATTACAAGTCATTTCAAAGAATGATAATTCCCTCGGAAGATATAGCTACTATATATTTAAATATTTACAGCAAATAGGTCCAGTCAGTTTTCAAACAAGTAACTTCTCTCTTAGCAGAGAAAATGTTGGACATCCTAGACTTTGCCAATCGTCTTTCTCATAGGATTTCAACACATGTACATTTTTCTTGTAAGGTAATTACTCCAGAGAGAAGATCTGAAAAAGATCATAGGGCTCTAGTTTTTAGACAAAGCCCATCAGCAGTTATATCAGTGTGGAATTCCAGCCATAGGCTTAACTACCAAGAGGACCAGTGTGATGATGATGATCATCATCATTATTATTTCACAGAATAAATTTATATCCTAGTTCCAGTACAGAATGGCCATGAACCGGTCTGGTTTCCAAAATATCCTTGAGTAATGTTAAGCTCTGGACATTTGGAAACATAAAAAGGTCATTTTCGGTTGCCACTGGCAAATAAATTCCAGCTGAGGAACTAGTGATGTAACAGGAGGCTCATAGGACATATTTTGTCTACTTTTTTCAATGGAAAAGAAAAATGAAAATATTTTACATAAGTGACAAAATAAATGATGTGGGATGAAAATGAATGAATACACTTTTCTGGAAGCTCCCTTCCCATCCAAAGCTAGCTTTATTAAAATGTATTTCAAATCCAGAATAGTGAGAAGCCAGATTAATTTTCTTAGAACGTGGCTTTTACCAAAATAATACTGGGGAATGCTCCACTTTAACAAGCAGGTAGATTTTGTCAGAGGTCCACTTACAATTAAAGGTTGATCCCTCTGCTCTATTTCCCTTTTATAGTATAGACATGATCCTCCTTGTGAAGGACCCATCTCTATTCTTTTTATATTTAAATATATAAATAATATTTTAATCCTCCTTAAATGTTGTCTTGAATGTTGTTTTAATTCCCACTGAGGTCAGCTGCAATCAACATCTGCTATCCTGAGCCCGTGTAGGAACAACCATTGTTAGAAATGATACTAGTATTCATAGGAAGTCTTGATAATCACTCTATTAACCAAAAGTTTACACTGGAGAAAAATGATCTGAAACTGCAGTATGAAAAACACTATCCAAATATATATTTCTTAGAAGGATAGACAGTGCTCAGCTTTAAAGACACAGGAATTCACACTGCTGTATCAGAACAAAGGTCATAGAGTCCAAGATCTTGCCTAAAAACATGAACATTCATTAAGCTTTCTGAGCTGATAACATCTTTGAAACAGGTTGCATACACACCCTTTTACTAATTCAACTACAATAAAGTCATTGCCATCTCCACTGTTGTAAAGTATTAACCCATCCAATGATGTTGTTTTGAACTGGAAAAACAGGTGCATAGATGTATATGCTTGCAATGTGGCAAGAGCTACATAGCTGGCTTTCGTTTTAAAGGTGACTGGGTCAGCAATGATGTTCCGGAAGCCAAAGCGGGCATTTAGTTCACAGTAGTCAATGTCCCCATTTTTACACAAATCAATGTATGCCATGCCATTAAAAGTGAGGCTTTGCAGATGACCAATGAAGTTGGAAGGGACTGAGGACAAGTAACGCCGTTCTGTTATGATTCCCGTCTCTATATTATGGAATTCCAGTCTTGTATGATCCCCAGCCATTTGACCTTTAAATAAAAAGCAATTTTGAGAAGTTAGTGTTATAGCCAAAAAGCTAGGGCTATTTCAAATGCTGAAGTCTCCTACACAAACATGGTCTAACCATGTGATTCTATCACATGTATTTTCACATAGAAAGTGTATGTGCTGGAAGTGCCCATTTGTTTAGTACTTTTCTTTTATTATATTTAAGAAAAACTGAGTGCATAACTTACAAGTGAAATGAGTCAAGCATCAAAGTTATCCTAATTTAAGGCAATCAAAACAAGGAAAAACTATGTTAATTTAACCAAATGGATGGGGGAATCTCAATGAATAGTAAACAGAATAAAATCTTTATGAGTGTTCTATTTGAACATTCAAATTTAAGTTTGAAGGCTTGTCACCCTGTACCACTAGGAGCTCTGCTAATTACAAAATATGAAAACAATAGAACTAAGATTTTTCCATTGTTTAGAGTGGAATAATTTGTATCTATCTTTAAAAGGATATTGGAAAAAGAGTCATTTATTGAAGAAAGTGCCTTTTATTATTATTTTGGTCTACAACACACACACACACACACACACACACACACACACACACACATGGAAAATTATCACTTATCTGACCTTTAATGAGCCTAACTCTAGGCCAATGCAAATATGTTGGGCCAATAGCCTAGGCAAATCATGTTGAAACACAGAGCTACAAATGGTTGAAAGTTATTGTAACATTAAGAAACAAGACAAAAGAAGAGAACTATTTCTATGACCACATCAGACACTGTTTAAATCCAAACAAGCAAAATGTCTTCTGGGGAAAAAAATCTGATTTTTCATCCAGAATGCTGCATAAAAAGTTATGCAGATACTATCATTGGAATCTTTTTAGCCAGACTTGGCTTAATTGCTCTCAACTTAGCCTCTCTTCTTGCACATTGTAAAAGTTGGAGTCAGTTGAATGATTTGAAATGAGGTAAAATAATAGACAATGCAAGAGAAATACAGTCTCTGCTCTTCTGGGTTTTGCCAGCACTTCCCACTTAGATCAGTTCTTGGATTTGATGATATAATTATGGTAGAGAAAAGTAAATTAGTATGTTGGAATAGGGAAAGAGTATCACATTTTTTGACTCAACTATAATTCTTACCCAGGATGCAGTCACAGATTGGATGTATTGTTTCAAACAAATGTGTGAACTTTGGCTGCCTTCAATTTTATTATATCATTATATCTATTTTTATCTTTATATCATTTTTCCTAATTCTGTTTTCCTTCTCTTTGCTTCAATCTATCAGAAGTGTCCTCTCCCAGTACCTCACATGGATTTTTTTTAAAAATGTCCTTTGTTGTATTTTCTGCCTATATCCACAAAACTCTGTGGATCCTTACCATTAGGGCTAGCGTATGACAAGTAAGGGAAACTGAAATGATTTTCACCACCAGAGCAATCATCATTAAACACATACTGAAAGGAAAATCAAGCAAATAGTTATTAGTCATTATTACCTGTCATGGCTTGTTGGTCATCTACTATTAACTTTAAACTTTTTCCTCTTCGAACTACACGTACTGTGTGCCATTCATTGTCATTGAGGTTATATCCAGCAAAAAGTGTCTCTGGACCTTTGCCTGTAGGGTATGCCAAACAGTTTATTATGGTATCTTTACATCATTCAATAGGTGAACCTCAGAGAGAGAGACAGAGAGAAAGAAAAAAAAAGAGAGAGAGAAAGATAGGGGACAAAGAGAGAAGGAGAGAAACACAACAAGAAACAGAACCAAAAGAGAGACACTTTTGCTGGAGCAAAATAAATAAATGAATAGTAATAATTTTAAAATAATAGTACATCTTTGAAAGACTTATCAAACGATAGGTAGACTTCAAAAGGCAGGCATGTTCTCTCACTAATACACACACACACACAAATAAAAACCTGTTTTCATAAATTGACACAATCAACGCAGAGCTGGTAGCTACTAGTGATACAGATTTGCCTAAGTTGCATCTTTTCAGTAAAGCTAATTGAGTAGTAATTAAGTTAAAAATGAAAATTATCCAGAAATAGAATAAGTGTTTGAAATTGGCATGCTATTGTCTTTGTGTATGCCTAAAGTCATTTATTTTTATCCCATTTCTATTATTTTTAAAATAACTCAAGGCAAGGAATATTATCTAATTATGCCTATTTTCTCCAAAACAATACCATGTGAGATGAGTTGGGCTGTGAGAGAATGACTGACCTAAAGTTCCTCAGCTGACTTTCATGCCTAAAGCAGAACTAGAACTCATGGTCTCCTGATTTCCAGCCTCGAGCCTTAACCACTAGACCACTCATTAATTAAACTTTATTTTAGTAAATTCTGTATATTACATTCAGAATATCTGAACTAAGATTGTTAGACATATATCACAAGAAAGTGTTTGAACAATACTGCTTTAACAACCGCTTGAGCTCTCTATTTGTGGAGAGTAGAGCAGATACTCTCTGATGCATATGCTCTGCAAGATTGCAGAGCATATGCAGCTTTCTAAGGCCATGTTTGTCAATGTCTGAGAGATTGATGGAGGTCCATTAGATAGGGAAAAGCAAACAATGTTTGAAACATCTTTTAAGTGTTCGAGCCATATGCGGATGAGATTCATTTGGGAGCTAACACCAATACATTATTGTATTCTTCTCAGAGTTTGACCAAGGCTTCTGTATCTGTATCTCTCGCCTGCAAAAAATAAATATTTGCCAAACTGACTTCCAGTCACACAGGAAAGATGATTACAATAAAATAAGCACTACAACTTTGCAATATATAGCTGAGATTTACTATACAGGCTGAGAGTATAAATAAGTTCTTGACTTACAACCACAATTAGGATAGAAATCTCAGTTGTTATGCAAAGTGTTGAGTTGCAATTTACCCACATGATTGCTTCTCTCAACATCTGTTTCCTGATTGTGGTTGTTAAACGAATGCATGGGTTGTTAAGTGGGCAGAGTCTCAGGTAAGGAGCACAGGATATCCTGGGTGGAAGAGCCTGGGAAGCTCTGATTAGGAGCTGAAAATCCCTGCTGAAATTCTAGCAGAAATTTCAGCCCCTGAGGCAGAAACTCTTGCATGTGGCCTGCACTGGGCCTTCCAGGGCTTCTCCTATCCACCTGAGGCCCCCATGCTCCTTACCTGAGACTCTGTCCACTTAACAACTATATTCATTCATTCATTCATTCATTCATTCATTCATCCATTCATCCATCCATCCATCCATTCAAATTTATTTGCTTACTTATTTAAATTTATTTATTTATATTATTTATTACATTTCTTTGTCGCCCATCTTTGCTTTAAAAGTTGGAAAATGAATAGCTACTGACATCTAGTGGAGAAGTAGAGAAAACTATAGCTGCATTGACTCAGAATTTGGCAAGATGCCCAGAAATAGCAAAAAAAAAAAAAAAAACCAAAAAAAACCCCCCACAGCAGAGCATACTACAGAATGAAAATATATATGTTTAGAAACTGCTGACCTTCTAGGATTATAAACACACTAAGCTGCATTTTTAAGTTTAAGAACTGTTTGCAGAGAAAGAAAAACCTTGGCCTTTGGCTAATCTTCTAAAGGGAAAGTTATTGAAAGCTTTCAGGTGGTTAAACACTTTGGACTGAAATCTTGGCTGGCTGATAATCATAAGACCCCTGAAAAGAAGAACTGTTACAAAATACTGTTTTCAGTGGTGCTTTGATAATTGGAAATGTATTGGATTACAAAAACCATATATTAAGATAAGAACTACATAAGATTTGGTTGTTTGGATTTTAAGATGGGCTGGTTTGATAAAGCTAATTAAAGAGACTATAGTACCGGTGAAAAACTACTTAGAGAAGGGAGACAAAATGGATGTTGTATATTTATCTAAAAGTGACAGAAAACCACACCTAACATCTCCTCCTGAAGACCCCAGCTTGGAACATCAGAGATTTGCAGGAACAATGACTCAAGACAAAGCAAATGCGTTCCAGGAGAAAATATGTGCAATGCTGCGACAGATCCAAATGACAATTGTCTCAAATCATGATGATAAGAATGAACAAATAAATCAGACAATAGAATACAAATCAGAGGAAAATGACTTAAATATGAAGCTACAAATGAAGAGAACTACAACTTAATAAAAACAAAAGAAAATTAGCAAACCTTTGCTACAACAATGGAAATAAAAAAGATGTTTTATCTTCCAGGACGTCAAAACAAACTTGAGGACAAAAAAGAAGATTTAATAAAATGGATTAAAGAGCTGTCAGGAGAATCATTAAAGCATGGGAGATAAAAAATGAATATTTTATTTAATTTGTCTTTTTTATCCCCAAAAATATCTACAAAAGCACAACCTGGCAAGCTAAACCTACTGATTTGGAAAGGGCCAAAAAAAGATTAGAATTAGATTTAAGAGATGTGATACAACCTATCAGATGGAATACTATATGACTAAACACCTGTTTGAATACAGTTAAAAAAATATAAAGTTTGGATATAAAGAGTAGTAAGATTGCTATATAAAGATATAGTAAGATTGCTAGATGGTGTACTATATGATTAAATACTTATTTGAACATGGTCAAAATAATAGACAAAGCTTGGACATAAAGGGGCCATATAGTAAGAGGGATAAGATATCTAAATACTATAATAGTTTTATAATATATGAAATGTAAAAATATTGAGATGGTCTATTTGAATGAAAAGTTTGGATATTCTAAGGTAATTAATTTTGAGAAAATTATGACTGATAAGAGTGGTTTCAATACTGAGGGGAAATTAGGCTTAAATAAGAATCTTGAAAACAGGACATATAATGATTTAATAAGATGACCTATAAATACAATTGAAACATAAGCTGATTAGAAAGATGTTATATGTTGATGTTATTGTTATATGTACAAATACTAGAAAAATGTTTATACCCAACTTTGTATGTATTGATAGTATTAAGAGCAATTATTTTACTCTTAAATTTCATTATATTTTATATTCATTGGCTTTCTGATGTCAGAAGGAACACAGATTAAACTATAGATATTTCTGCAGTTTTCACTTTCTTAAGACAATTAATTATGAGTGATAAATGAAGTTGTTTGTTTGGTGAGATGGGTAGCTATATAAATTGAATAAACAAATAACTAAATAAATAAATAAATAAATAAAAGAATTTGTATTAGCTGAGATCATATATTTTAGAAAAATAAAAGCTTTATCATTTAATACATGCTATTTTGGGATATATAAATAACAGGTAAACTTAAAATAAAAATGAACAGCTTCTCGCAATATTCTCTGTATCTATCCATCTATCTGACCATCCATCCATCCACTCATACACATTGACACACACACAGATACATGCATGCTTTTCCTATGTGCTTAAATGACAAAAAATAGTTATAACAGACCCACTTCAGATCTGTAATGGCTCTCCTAGAATTTACCCTAAAATGGAAATTGAGTACCAGTTGGCCAGTAATGTAGCCTCTCTCCAAGCTAACACACTTAAAATAAGTTAGGGTACAATTTTGAGAATTCCCAGTTGCATGGCCAAAAGGACTTGTGACACAGTAGTTTAAATCCCTCACATCTGGTAGGCACTAGATTGCAATTCATTAAGCTTAGACATTTCCCTTCCCCATTTCTTCAAGGGAATAGCATTTTTGACATGGTTGCATATTACATCTCCTTAATGAAGAGTGGTTTTCTATCTAACAATGAATGTCCTTTAACCAATCAAATAAATAAATAAAAATTCAGACCCAGCATCCTGCTAGCCTTATTACTTCCCTTGCTGGATTCCAAAAGAATATCTCATGGCAATGATTCAGATATTTACCATAATTTTCTTGTAATGTACAATTTTCTGGTAGTGCATACTTTTATGATTAATGAGCTAGTTATAATGGATGTTCTGCAATAATTGTAAGCTTGTTCTAATAAATAAAACAATTTGAACTTCCCAATGTATTTTCCTAGACTTTAAGTATATTTAATGGAATAGAATAGTTACACTCATGGGAGCATTTGACACTTGTTGTAGAAGATCTGCAGTTTTCTTGGCTTTCTAAAAGCCCTTTTCCAGTGAGATGCCACCAGAAATCTAGCAGCAAAGCCCTTGCATTCTTTCTATCAAACTGGGGTGGCGGCAGGAGATAACAGATGGTAGCACTACAGTAAATGAGCACTACAGATTCTGGAGTACCTTGATAGTATGATAATTCTATCTGCAGGAGTTGCCTAGTACAAAGGGATTGGCCCACCCTTCTTGCTTCAGCAGAAAGGACATCTAAGGATCCTCTCTGTCAAGGTATTTCAGCTGGTGGGGAATAGGAGTGATGCGTTTTCTGCTCTGTCTCCTGTCCTTTGGGACATTCTACTGCTGGAGGTGAGATCCAACCCCACCCTCTTGGACTTCCAGAAGGGCCTTAAAACTTTGATCTGCTGGTTAGCTTGGGGTCCCTATAGGGATCCTCTATGTTGGAGGTGGCTGACAAGCTAAGAGAAGACCTCCCCATGCTGTCCATCCACTTAGTTTTTAATTTCTATATAGTTTTTGCTAATTTTAATTGTTTTATTTATCTGTCTATCATTTTGT